ATTAAATTTAAATCCGTGTGTGTGTGTGTGTGTGTGTGTGTGTATGTGTGAATGAGTGTGGGCTTACTCTGGGTAGAGAGGTCAGAAGACAACTCTTTGTCTCCCATCATCTTGTGGGGTCCAGAGACTGAACTCAGGCCGTTAGGCCTGCACACAAGCATCTCTGTCAGCTGAACCATCTCGCTGGCCTTTATAGCCGTATTTTAACTGTCCCTCAAATAGCTTCCACATAAAATTAAGATACATAGCAAGGAGCTGGAAAGATGGCTCAGCAGTTAAGATCACTGGCTGCTCTTCCAGAGATCCTGAGTTCAATTCCTAGCAACCACATGCTCACAACCATCTATAATGGGATCTGTTTTCCTCTTCTGGTGACCCTGAAGACAGGTTATACACACACACACACACACACACACACACACACACACATATATATATATATATATATATATAAAATAAATAAATATTTTTTTAAAAAAGATACATAGCAAGTTCCAGGTTAGCTAGTGCTACACGGTGAGACCTTGTCTCAAAAATAAACAAACAGCACTTAGGAGGCAGAGGAAGGCTGTGGTGACATATTGTGTACCCTAATAAAGCTTACCTGGGATCAGAGGACAGAACCAGCCACTAAATTAGACATAGAGGTCAGGCAGTGGTAGCACACACCTTTAATCCTATCACTCGGGAGGCAAAGATCTGTTCGGATCTCTGTGAGTTCAAGACTACAGTGGGCTGCGTGAGAGAAACAGAACCAGGCGGTGGTGACATACGCCTTCAATCCCAGGAAGTAATATGGCAGGACACAGAAAAGTATATAAGGCATGAGGAAATAGGAACTCGCTCTCTTGAGGCTGAGGATTTCATAGAGGTAAGCTAGTGGATGGCTGTTCTGCTTCTCTGATCTTTCAGCTTTCACCCCAATATCTGGCTCTAGGTTTTTTATTATAAGACCTTTTAAGATTTGTGTTACAGGCAGATCTCTGTGAGTTAGAGGCCAGCCTGGTCTACAGAGCCAGTTCCAAGACAGCTAGGACTACACAGAGAAACCCTGCCAAAAAAAACCCCAAAACCAAAACAACAACAAAAACCCAATCTCCCCCCTCAAAACCCAACAACAAGAAAATTAAGCAAACAAATAAATTATAAGCTGTTATCAGACAAAGCAGAGAAGGCTTTAAGTTTTAAATAATTATTTGATTTAAAAATTACACACATGTATGACTTTAATAAAAATAATTAATTTCAGTAATAGCAGAAGTAGAGAAAAAGGAGGATGCCAGAAAGAAGAGGAAAGTCTACACGTAAGAGAGAGAATGTGGGTGGGTTCCATCAGTAGTGGCAGCAAGGCTGGTATCCCAGATGAATCAAGTTTACTAAAAATAACTGCAAAAGGAACTTTCATTCCATGCAGAACAAGATGATGATTAAAGGAACCGATTTTCTGTGACTGACAATGTAATGCTGGAGACACACAGAGAAAGCAAAACCCACAACCACCAGCTACTGAAGCCAACGAACGGGAAACCACATGGTCCTGTCCTGGCAAACAGAGAAACCCTGACACTGAGGCCAGCAATAGCCAGTGTGGAGCTGGTGGGCTTCTGGCGAACTCAAGTATTACTTAAGTGGATGTGGGGTTTGTAGCCTCCAACAGCTTATACGAAACTTGCTGTACTTTTGGGTTTGTTATTTGTTTTAAGATGGGCTCTCACTATTTAATTCTGGTCAATCTGGAGTTCACAGGGATCACCTGCCTCTGTCTCCCAGTACTGGGATTAAAGGTGTGCACCTGGCCCTGGGTGTGCTTTCTGAATCACCTTGTAGCACACTTTAAAATCAGTGGCACAGACTTTGTTTTCCTTTGGCCCAGTCTGACTACATCTGCGGAATCCACTAACTGGATTAACTGACACACAGAGACAGGACAGACTAAGAGAGAAATCAGTGCAGTGAGAAGACCCAACCTCACTTGAGGAACTACAAAATAAGCCATCTCTGAAGAACATCTTGAAAGGGAATTGAGAGCTACCTTGCAAGAAGGGACATCAGGGAGAGGGGACAGAGGAGAAAGACCATCTTCAAGCCAAAGAGAGAACACAATCTACTGGTGGTACCTTGACCCTTCAACTTACAGAAATAGGAGGGAATACATTTACAGGTTTTTGTTTGTTTTTGTTTTATGAGATAGGGTCTTTTTATATAGCCCTGGCTGTCTTGGAATTCACCACGTAGACCAGGCTGGCCGTGGTCCTGAATGCTGGGATTAAAGGTGTGCTCCACTATAAAAGACACAAAAACTCCCATTCTGTTGCTCACTCCCATTTTTCTTTAGAGAAGTGTGAAAAGACTGCAGAGAACAGTCCCAGAAAGGGGAAGGGATAGCCTTTCTACTTAAAAGATACATTGGTTTAGTAAGTAAAACTACCACAAGGCCAGGTGAAAGGTACACAAACCCAAAGATTGCTTCTCAGCTAATCAATCTATGATCTGTGGGGGTGGTGAACTCCAGAATAAACTCCAATGCCAGCGTTCTCTCTGCTCGGGCAGACTGCTGCACATCTGACTGTGCTTGAGAGGGAGGCTGCTTCTCCAACTTCCAAATTCCAGAAGTAAAGTCCTTTATAACTTATTTAGTAATCAGACCACAGCAACTGGATACACCCCACCCGACCCCCCTTTTAGGAGTCTGGTAGTAACATTATTCATTCAGCAACAGACAAAGCTGAAAAACGTCTCCCAGCTCTGAGCACCGGACATATTTTGTGTTATATACTTGACAGAGTCCTGTTATTTTTCTGATGACCATTTTCCAGTTTGATGTCACCCATGTATCGCCTATATCAGATGGTTGAGTTGAGCTGTCCTCAAATTAAAAACAAGACATTTTTTCTGGCAGTAGGTAACATTAAATAGGTGAGGACGTCATTATTGAAAAACGAGGTTTGAGGGGGCTGGAGAGATTGCTCAACAGTTAAGAACACTTGTTGCTCTTTCAGAGGACCAAGCTTCGATTCCCAGCACCTATATGGTGACTCACAATCGTCTGTAACCCTAGTTCCAGGGAATCTGATGTCCTCCTCTGACCTCCATGTGCACCAAGACCAGACAAATATGGAGGCAAAACACAATACAATAAAACGAATAAATCTTAAAAAAAAAAAAATGAGGTTGAGGGGCTGAAGAGATAGCTCAGTGGTTAAGAGCACTGACTGCTCTTCCAGAGGACCCGGGTTCAATTCCCAGCACCTACATGGCAGCTCACAACTGTCTATAACTCCAGTTCCATGGGACCAGACATACATGGAAAAACACTAATGCACATAAAATAAAAACAAATTAAAAAATGTTTAAGCGACTTTTAAAAAATGTTGAAAACTAAGACAACTTAAATCCAAATTTATGGAAAACTATAGGCTTTTGTCTGAATACATCGAGAGCAAGTACAGGAATGGTTACTTGGTGCCTGGGGTTACCAAACCTCAAGAAACACCTGCCTTCCTTTAGTTCATATCGCCAAGCAACCAATCAAGCATAAAACAAGAAGCAGGATATGTGACGGAGGAGGGAAAGCACTGAACAGCAACAAACATATATATTTAAAAACCTAAAACAAAACAAACAAAAAAACTCCAGGGCTGGAGAAATGGCTCAGAAGTCAAGAGCACTTCCTATTCTTGTAGAGGACTAGAGTTAAGTTCCCAGGCCCCATGTTCCCATCTCCAAGGAACCAAGGCCTCTGGCCTCCAGGGGTACTGATATTCATGTGCACATACCTACACACACACACACACACACACACACACACACACGCGCGCGCGCACACACACACACACTTTAAAATAATAAAAAAATTATAAATGTTCTGGGAAAATCCTTTGAAACAGGATATAAAGGAAATTCCTAAGGTCTAAAGAAAGATTTTTTAGGAGGAGGGTGTGGTGGCACACACTTAAATCTCAGCAATCTAGAGGTTGAGGCAGGAGAATTCAGAACTCCAGGTTAGTCTGGAGTACATAGTGAAACCCTGTTTCTAGGAACTACCTCTAATCTCACCCATAAAGAGTGAATGTAGGTCGGGTGGTGGTGGCGCACGCCTTGAATCCCAGCACTCGGGAAGCAGAGGCAGGCGGATCTCTGTGAGTTCGAGGCCAGCCTGGTCTACAGAGTGAGTTCCAGGACAGCTAGAGCTACACAGAGAAACCCTGTCTCAAAAAACAAAACCAAAGGAAGAAAAGAGTGACTGACAGCAGAAGGTTCCGGGATCAGAGCGGCGGCTCAGTGGGTAAAGGGTGCTCACCGCAGAGCCCACAACCCGAGTCCAATCCCTGGCCCCACACGGGCAAGAGGAAACTGACCCTGGCAAGTTACTCTCCTCTAACTTCCACACGTGCGCCACGGCTGGTGTGCATTTGTGCATGTGCGCACGCGCCAGCACACACACACACACACACACACACACACACACACACACACACACACTCAAATAAGTAAATTATAAACTTTAAATTATAAACTTTTAAAAAAGAAAGGAGGTTCTTGGGAAAAAATATCTAAGTATCATTTATGCCAGATATGATGATGTGTATATGACCTGACTTCTTCTAATCTTCATTTTAAAAATTCCCTTGGACATCTTCTGATAAACTGCTTATATTTAAAAAAAGAAGCATTAGGGGTTGGAGAGAAAGCTCAGCAGTTAGGAGCACTTTTTGCTTTTGCAGAGGACCCAGGCTGGGTTCCCAGCACCTACATGGTAGCTCACAATCATCTGTAACTCCACTTCTAAGGGACTTCACACCCTCCTGAGGGTACCAGACACACATATACACATACATTCAAAGCAGGCAAAACATTCATACACATAAAATGAAATAAAAATCTAAAAAATATTTTTTAAAGACATATATTCATCTCTTGTACCAGTGTTCTCTCAGGGGACTGCATGCCACAGGTCAAGAGAGCCAATGTGCACCATATCCACAGTGGGACATACTCACCTGCTTCTGGATCTGCAGGAATCTTCCACATGTACAGGTTGAAGTCATCAGAGCCTGAGAGGATATACTGTTGGAACAAAAGAGACATTGTATATACTATTTCATAATTGGGGAGATAATTATTCAATTACATATATAATAATATATATGTTATATAGCCTTGTGATATACCTATGTCATTCTGTAAAGAGACATTTTTTTACAACAGGGCCAGTGAGATATATTAGTGAGCAAAAGCAATTGCTGTGCTGAGTTTGATGCCCAAATCCCACAGTGCAAGGCAAGAACAGTTTTTTTCTGCCTCACATCCAATTTTAAAAAAACAGTGTAGATTGTCATATATTTAAGGTGCCACAAAGCAAATAGCCTAGTACAAATATTTACAGATCACAAGGTAGAAAATAAAAACTAGGATCTTCATAGAGATCATTAACGTGAGGTCAAGCATCCTAAACTCTGCATCCCTCTGACATCCTGGAGTTTCTCTGCATCCCCCTGACATCCTGGAGTTTCTCTGCATCCCCGTGACATCCTGGAGCTTCCCTGCATCCCCCTGACATCCTGAAGTTTCTCTACATCCCTCTGACATCCTGAAGTTTCTCTGCATCCCCTGACAAGCTGCTGCCAACCCAAACATGACTTAGTGCCAGGGACATAGCATTGTTTTAATGTAGCAGCGTCAAATTGCCTGGTCTGAAAGGGGTCATTATTGCTAGATCTAATTAATTAGATGCATAAACACACTGTGTCTCTCTTTGGCCTTCATGGCTTTCTCTGAAGCTGGCCTAGTGCTCACGCTGATCCTGTCTCAACTCCTCTGGGAATGGCCAAGCCTGTATTCTCTTAATGGAACTTAGCGACTTATATACCTACATGTTTTACATTTTCTACTTGATGTAAGTCCCTTGGGAATCCAGGTGTCACTTTACATGCCTTTGTGAGTAACAGAGTGGCTGGCATATCAGGTGCTCTGGGTTAGTATATAGTGAGTAAATCTTTTCTCTTAATATTGGTGTGAAATTCCTGGGCTCCTGAATTCCAACTTCCGAACTGCAAGGAAACTTTTCAATTGGAGTGTAACACTGTTTGTTACCTTTGAGTTTCCTAGTCTTGAGCAAATTTACATGGTGAGTGATTTGTCAACCACTTAGGTGGTAGATAGGGACATCAGGGTCTCATCTGGGTTCCACCACTCATTCTTGGAGAACAACAACCTGGCTCTCTCATTTAGCAGGAGGAGATACTAAGTCAGGGCTTTCTCCTCAGTGCCTGGACCCTTGAGAACATAGCTTCCCTGTAAATGTCCTGCCTTCACCTCTTACTCGTGCTCCTCGATGTTTTTGAAGGCTAGTAAATAATTTTTTAAAAACCATAATAAGAGTTGAGACAAGCCGGGCCGGTGGTGGCACACACCTTTAATCCGAGCACTCGGGAGGCAGAGCCAGGCGGATCTCTGTGAGTTTGAGGCCAGCCTGGTCTACAGAGCAAGATCCAGGATAGGCACCAAAACTACAGAGAGAGACCCTGTCTCGGGGTGGTGGTGGGGGGAAAGAGTCGAGACAAGATCAGTGTGAGCACTAAGCTAGCTTCAGAGAAAGTCTGAAGTGGGGGTGAAGAATACAGCAATGGCTGTCCCGTAGCCTGTGGGCTCAACCGGTCTAACTCCCTATCCCTCCGGTCACCTTCTGCCTGACTGCCAACTGCCAGGCTCGACATCTCTTTCCAAAGCCTTTCTCCAAAGCCTGTCTGCAGACGGCTCTAAGAAATGAGTGCTGCACAGGAGCAGCCATTAACCAAAGATGACGTGAGCAGGCTTCTGAGCAGCCCAGCTTCCTGCCCTGACAGAAGAACATGGATGCCCAAGTCTGTGCTTTACAGCTTCCCCGTCACAGGCAAACTCAAACTGCCAGTGGCCACAGGCGGTTCCTGGAGTCATCCTCTCCCTCTCCCACTTCTCTGCTCGACTGTTGCTTACTGTATTTCCAGAGAAAACTGAACCACCATAAAACAGAGGGGGAGGACGCCAGAACACCAAAGAATCATCTAATTACATGCATGTATGTGTGTAAGCGTGGACTAAAACTCGCTAGTCAATATCTCATTGCTTCATGTTCTGCTTAAAGAGGCTGTAAACCTGACGTAGAATTCCTGCTTCCTTCCTTCCCCAAACTAAATAAACAACAACAACAAAAAAATCATACTGAAAAAGTACTACCAGGCCATGCTTTCTTATCAGGTTTACTTCACTGAAGGATGGGTACTTGCTACTTGCTTAGTGCTTCCTGGGGCAGAGCCCTGGGAACGTTAAAGGGGCCGTCCATCCAGACAGAACGCTGACTCAGAAGACAGCCTTAGAAGGAAGAAAATGCTCCCACAGAGTTAAGCCTGTTGGCTTTAATATGGTAGCTCCTCGAACACACAGAAAATGCTTAGAATGCTTTAAATGCTTTTGGGGATAAGGCAAGTTCTGATAGCTCTTCCCCTTAAAACCTCTCTTCACCTACCAGGACAGAACTGCTTGGGATAATTTCCGGGGGAGGGGGGGTCTCAACCACTGACATCGAGTCAGACTGTGTAAGTGCTCACTAACACTGGAATTACAAGATGCCCTGAGGAATTCATTTATGGCATTTAGTGGCTGTCTGCTGGACTCCTGCCAACATTAACAGTTGGGCTGCCTGGGATACTGTTAACTGGGAGAGTCTGAAATAAAAATAAGTTCATTCTTTTACTCTTTAAACAAATATTTATTGAGTGTCTACTATGTGCTGAGCACTGTTCCAGGGATGGAAAAGAGATGCTGTCCCCGCCCTCATGGGACGATCATCTTATAAATGGGGTGGAAAGGCACAAAGCTAGGGACACAAGACAATCACATACACAATGTTCTCAGGGCGGGTAAACGTTAAAAGAAAAGAGAATCATCTGGGCTGAGAATCTAGGGAGTGGTGGAGTAGCTTGTTTCTGTTTTATGTAGGGTGTTCACAGAAGGCCTCTCTGATAAAATGAATTTTGAATAAAACCCTGAAGGAAATGAGGGAGCAAACTATTCCAGAACAGGGCAGAGGATTCTGGGATATTTCAAAATATAAATTAGCAAACTGTGTGTAATGTCTCAAACCTGTAATCCAAGTGTTCCAAAGGCTTTGAGGCGAAGAGCTGAGTGAGGAAGATCCTAGCCTAGGCTACATAACAGTTCCAGGTCAGCCTGGGCTACCTGCTGAGCGGACACTCTACCACTCAACTCCTTTCCCAGCCTTTTAAAAACTCATTGTCTTGAGCCTGGATCTTATTAGCTTGCCCAGGCTGGCCTTGAACTTGTGATCACAGGTCTTTGTCATCAGACCTTGCTTATTTTCAAAGCTGTGCAGAAGATTATTTCAAGAGGGCCTGGTGTAGAGAGGCATTTAATGTCACCACAGGAAGAATTTCCTTTCCTAAGGTTGCCTCCTAGGACTGGGCTGGTTGAAGCCTCAGACTGAGTGAGGCCTGCAAACGGTTGGAGCTCCAGGCACTGAAGTCCTGGTGGGCTCCCATAAAAGCACTCTGCTGTGGGTACAACAGAGACTGAACAAGAAACAAAGACAGAAGAGTGCTAATGCCAGTCACTACCAAGAGAAGGCTACAGTACACGATCTCATTAACATTCCTTACACATAATCATTTGGACTAAACCATACAACAGAAGTTAAGTGGTGAAGAAAGAGGTATAATTCTCTCTCTTTCTCTTGGTATCCCTTTTCCCACATTGTTGGGATTAAAGACTGGGCCACCATGATCCAGTTTTCCACATGGGTTCTGGAGAGTGTTGGGGTGTTGGAACTGGGTCCTCATACCTACATACGAGCACTTTACCAACCTGGCCATCTCCCTAGCTCTAATAGTTTCCCTTTATCTTGACACCCAATTTCAATTGGGTTTTTAAAAATTGTTTTAGCTTGGTTAATTTTTAAGGAAGAGTCCTATACAGCCCAGGTTGGCCTCCAACTTAAAAACAGCCCAGCACTCCTCATCTTCTGACTTTACTCTCCCTTTTCCCTCTGCCTCTTCCCTCTCCCCACCTCCTCCTCCCTTCACCTACTGTTTCTCTTCCTGCCTCCTTCCCCACCTCTGTTTGAGACAGTATCTCACTACTAGCCTAGGGTGGCTTAGAACTATCAGATCTCCTGCCTCAATCTTCCTGTAAAACTTGACAGTAAATTGTGGGATTTTCCCATGGCGATGTTTAAGAGTGTGTGTGTGCGCGCGCGCTGTGCACGTGAGTGGCCATCTGTATCATGAAAGGCGTGTGGGACTCAGAAGACAGCTTTGCAAAGTTGGTTCTTCCTTTTACCACAGGGATCAAAGGGATGAAGCACAGGCTGACAGGCTTGGTGAGCCATGTCCCCAGCCCCACAGTGATGTTTTAAATGTGAACACCATAAAGGGGGACAGAGATGTTAAACAGACGAATCTGGGGTAACTACTCTGGTACCAACCTTACTGCTCTCTGGACCAGAAGCCCTTGACCATGGATCAGCTTTAGATAAAGCAGGTTCTCTGGGTACAAATCACAGATGCGATTTGACATTAGGTGTCAAACTGGGTGTGCAGGTACATGCCTCTAACCCCAGCACTTTGGGGGCCCAGGCAGGAAAACTGATGTCCCAGGACAGTCTGGGCTATACAATAAAACTCCGTCTCAAAAGGGAAAAAAGAGAAAGGAGAAGAAGGGTAGAAAAAATAAAGGGGTAAAAATGGCTTTTAGCCAGGCAGGTACATAAAAATGAAGACCTGGCCATTTCTCGGGTAAATTTCTTATTTAGCCTCATTCTAAACAAACTAAAAACTCAGTTTCAGCCAGGTGTGGCGGCACACGCCTTTAATCCCAGCACTTGGGAGGCAGAGGCAGGAGGATCTCTGTGAGTTTGAGGTTAGCCTGCTCTACATAGAGAGTTCCAGGACAGTTGGGGCTATATAGACTTTGTCTCAAAACAAACAAAACCCCCAAAACTCAGTTCTTAGGAGCCTTTACCTTGTAGGTGAGTAGAACAAGAGATACCAAAGGAGGAAGACTGTTTCAAAGAC